AGAGCAGAGCAGAGCAGAGCAGAGCAGAGCAGAGAAGAGAAGAGAAGAGAAGAGAAGAGAAGAGAAGAGAAGAGAAGAGGAACTGGAATAACCACAAACAATTTTAGAACTCTTTCTGTAGATATGTTTTCCAATAAGATGTCGTTGTTGGTCAGAATATGATCTAGTGTAAAATGGTTGAGAGAAAAACAAACCTCTTTGTTGTCCAGCATTGATTCTTTCTGTATCCAATCTTGTAACTGGCTATTGAAGTGATAGGCATAAAAGTTGCTAATTGTACTCGGTAAATGTACAGGGTGGTAATTAGTTGGATTCCTATCCCTCCCCATATTTCTTTTTTTAAATATTGAGACAATAATGGCAGTATTTCAAACTTGAAGAAAACAAAGCTCTTAACCACTGTGCTATTGCAGCACTATTATTAAAGAAAGATATACGAACGATTATAGTGCATGCTGGCATTTTTTTTAAAGCAACTACTGCTACAACAACTGCTTGTTGTGCCTGCATGCATCCAGATTGCAAGTGTTGCCAAAGCATCTTGGAACAGACTTTTATTAAGCTATTTTAGAGCCAAGATGGGATGAGCATAATACAGCAACATCTTAAGCAATGAGTGCAAATGTAGCCGCATCAACTTTTGAAGATGAAATGGGAGCTTTAAGGTTTAAGGCAGGGGTGGGATTCTACCATTTTGCACCTATTCGCTAGAACCGGTTGTTAACATTTTAAGCAGTTTGGAGAACCGGTTGTTAGAAGAAATTACTGGCCTAATCCTGTAAGGAAGGCAGGAAGGAAACATTCTGGTGTTGCTTACAGAAACTGCCTCTCCGTTAACCCTTATTACATTCTTGGCAGGACTAGACCTCCTGTCTCAGGAACGTCTCTGGAGTTTTTTCCCCTCCTTTGCTGGTACTTTGCTTCTGTGGAGTGACCATTCAAAGTTACAATGGCATTGAAAAAAGCGACTTATGACTATTTTTCATACTTACGACTGTTGCAGCATCCCCACAGTCATGAGAGGCCAGGCGAGGAGATGCGTGCCTCGATGTGAGTGATGTTGAGTTGGCCACACCCAGCCAGTCACATAACCATCAAGCTATGCCCACCAACTAAGCCACGCCCACAGATCCGGTTGTTAAAAAATTTGAATCCCACCCCTGGTTTAAGGCATCTGTTTTCTCCCTTATCACCACCTCTACCATCCTTTAAAAAATGCAAAGAAAAACAAGGTGGGGGCAGTTTTGATGTCTGCATCTAAAATCATCTGTGATTCTGAGGGGGTTACAAGCATCTGGACATGTGGATTGCAGGTTGCCCATTCCTGGTTTACAACAGGTCAGTCTTTCTTGGAAGAAGTATTCATAATAAAAACAACATATAGTATATAGTATTTGTTAGCTATTTATCTACCTGGGATCTTATTCCGTTAAATTACTGATATTTTCCACCTCTTCCTGCATCATATGCCAAACTGATTCTGTACTGTTGTGTTCACTGAGCTTAGTTTTCTTCTCGCGCAAGTTTCATTACCAGACTAAATAACATCATCTGGGCGCAGCTTCTCATTGCAAAAGAACTCCAAATGACTTACCTTTGAGAATATCACATCCAGAAATTAGCAAGTCAATTAAAACATAACGAAGGAAAAGAATACAAATGAGGATACCGATATTATTATTTTTTTGTCAAACGAATACATCCTTTGATCTTATATGAAGTGACTACGGGTAATAAACAATAAAAACCACATATTAAAACATGCAGCAAAACCAATTAAAATAATTAAAACAATGAACAGAGATTAAAAACAAGACCACAAAACAGGAGAATATGAATGCAGCCAACAAGTGAGATTCCTCTTACCAGGGGATTCCCTGATTTGCTAGAAAAACCTGTTTTAAGAACTTCCTGAAAGGCTGTGATGGTTGGAGCTAACCTCAATTCAGGAGGGATAATGTTACAGAGGGCAGATATCATAGTAGAAAAGGCTCACTTTCAAGATCCCTTCAGGTGGAACTTTTTCGCCTATGGGGTCCTGCAGCATGCCTCTCCTGCCAGACGTGAAGTGATGGGTAAATGTGATCCGGAAGAGTCCCTCAGATAACCTGAGGCCATTTTTATTTATTTTATTTTATTTGTTTGTCAAACATGTACAAGATAACAAGTATAGGTATGAATATAAACATGAATAAAAGAAGTAAATACAGATTAAATGAGGACAGTAAGACAGGGACGGGCCAGCTTAAGTGCATGCCATGTAGGGCTTGAAAAGTCAAAACCAGCGTTTTGTATCCCTTCATTCTTAAAATAATTCAACTGTAGAGCTAGTTTGGTCTATTATTAAGGCACCAAGCTGGAAAGGCTGTGAGTTCCAGCCCTGCCTTAGGCATGAAAACTAGCTGGTGACTTTGGGCCAGTCACTCTTTCTCAGCCCAGTCCACCTCACAGGGTGGCTGTTGCAGGGAAAATAGGAGAGCTATACCTTGAGTTATTTATAAAAATAATAAAGGTGGGATAAAAAAACATCTTTTAAAAATCATGTTCTTCTATATAGCTTTGCTTTTTGAAAGTGATTTTTTTTCCTGACATCTCATTTAAAGCAAAAGCAATCATGAACAAGTTCAAAACATGGGAGGGGGAGATACATCAAAAATTGGATGTCCGTGTTTCATAGATGCCTGGAATATTCCCAACCTGCTTTAAAAATAAATGGAAAACACCAGCACTATTGCTACTAAGGTGAGGACTATATAATAACTTCAACCATACCGGAGGCAATTTTTATTAAATGTTGAACAAGGAAATTTGATCAGATTCTACAAACAGGTTATGAAATCTAAGGAGAAGACAAAAAAGACCATTAGGAATATATAACTTACCATCATGCTGTCATTTACTCGTTTCAGCTTCTAGATTATGGAGTAATTTTAAGGTAAAGACAAAAAAATGTTTTTAAGCTTTATCAACATGGCATTTAACGTCTGGTGCAAGAGAGCCCCAATTCAAAGATCCAGCTTAAAGCTTAGAAAATACTTTATTAAATAGAACTGTGAAATTGAATAAAAGAAACCTAGAAAAATAAAAGCTCGATGCCTCTTTCTATATAATGCAGTGAATGAATGGAAAGATGAAAAATCAGTCATGCCTAGAGATGGGTGATGCAAACTTGGTGACATTATTATGCTCAAATAAATTACCATTATAGTTCACATATTTTATACCAGTTAGTAACCACCTGGTTAGGTCCAATGCTGCTCCAAAATCTACCTTGTCGTTTCTAAGTTTTTTTCTTTTGTGAAAAGAGGCTTCAATATTCTTGTCTTATTTCCAGGATGCTTTCAATTTTGGGGGGAAATGTTGAGGATTTATTTCGTCTGTGGTGCTGTTCTTTTATGTTGCATGACTTTCCATTACTTCCTAGACGCCCAAACTTAAAATAATTCTTCCCACTGATATTTTTAATCATGTCTTCTCTAGGTATTTAATCAAAAATGTGGATGGCCAGAGATATACAGGCTGCTAGATTGATGATATAATAAGATATAAGATATTCCACAAGTCTCTTGACCATCAATAGATAATTAATAACATCACACGAGAAGTTTATTAAAATTCTCTCTTGAAGACTGCTGAAAGCAAATGCCTTGTCATCATCAGATTTTATCCAATATCTCTGTGGAATATGATGCCACTCCCCAAAATGCAGGATACTGACATGACTATCTTGCCACAGAGCAGCAAAACCTGGTGTAGTGCTGGTATTTTTACTGGAAGATTGGCAAGAAGGAATTAAATAGTGATGTGCCTTTTGCATACTACTTGCATTCCTATCTAATTGTTGAAAGCATATTATAGAATTTGGCAATATATTTTAGTAAACTTGGGTTGTAATTTTTTGACCTGGTCTTGGTGGAAAATTTGTGTACAGTAGGATGATCCTTTTCACTGTCAATCCAAAAACCTTGGGGAAAAGGTACTCCTTTATCCCGAGATGGTCTCATTGCCATAAACAAATACTGAGTAATGTTGGCTCAGAGCTTATATCAATGAATCAAAAAAGCCCATGAGATGGAATCTGGATGCAGATCTAATCAGAAAGGTGCTGCATGTTTGCTAACTTGGAAGGGGTCTTCCCACCGTAATTTCTCTGGGGTTCACTGAATTGGAGAAGAGGAGTAAGGTCCTTGTCTTTTTGTCCTCTTTAGTATTTTTGAATGTTCCTTGATTGGTGTCTCGTGTACTTTCTTATGCTGCTTTGGATTAAAGTCTTAAGTACTTATCCTATATGATCATTGCTTCTGAATTCAAAACAAACCCATGACCAAATTCAAATAAGCAATGTACTGGGCTATTTAGGAGAGGAATGGAATCTGAAGACTCCATAAATAAGATGGGATGGAATAGATTATTTTAACCCTTATTTTTATTCTGTTATTCTGACTTTTAGGTAATACTGTTATATTATTGTTGTTATTATTATTACTATTGTGGATTGAGTTTTATTATTTGGAAGTTAACAACCAGAGTTTGAATAGGATATAATTTTTAGTGAGTAAATAAATAAATAATACCATAACTAATGGAGAAAATTGGAATGATCACTGTTACAGTGAATATAAAAAGTCTACGCATCCTTGTTAAAATGCTAGATTTTTTAGATGTAAGCTGCTCAGAGTTGCCTGAACTATGAGGGAGGTGGCAAATAAATTTGATAAGTAAATTAAAAAAAAAATTAGACCAGATAAATCACTTCAGAATACTTTTCTGTCTTTAATACCATATATAAGTTTTACAATTCAATTAATAACAAACTGGATTTGTTAAGGGAGAAAAGAGTGTATAATAATGTGGTTGCATAAGTGTGCACACCCTTACACCAATACTTTGGTGAAACGCCTTTTGATTTTATGATAGCATTCAGTCTTTTGGGATAGGAGTCTATCAGCATGACACATCTTGATTTAGGAATCTTTGCCACTCTTCCTTGCAAAAGCACTTCCAATCTGTCAGATTGTGAGAGCATCTCCTGTGCACAGCCTTCTTCAGGTCTGGGCTCTGGCCGGGCCATTCCAAAACTTTGATCTTCTTCTGCTCAAGCCATTATTTTGTTGATTGGGAGGTACCTTTGGGTCATTGTTGTGTTGAAAGGTGAAATTGCTCTACATTTTCAGCATTTTAGCAACGGCCAGAAGATTTTGTGCCCAAACTGACTGATACTAGGAACTGTTCATCATTCCCTCCACCTTGATTGAAGCCCCAGTTCCAGCTGAAGAAAAGCACCCAAAGAATAATGCTGCCATCAGCATTGTGAATATGGTATACTTTGGTGTTGTTTTTGCTCCAACTTTTTGGAATTATAGCCATAAAGTTCAACCTTGGTCTCATCAGACTATAAGACATCTTGTCAGATCTGATGTAGATTTTTGCAAACGTAGCTGGACTTGGATATTTTTCTTTGTTAAAAAGTAAAAAGGCTTCCTCAGCCTAGACATAAAGAATACAAGAAATTGTCGTCCCATGAGTACAGAAGCAGTATGTGCCAGAAATATCTGCAGCTCCATCAAAATGTTGCTGTAAGTCTCTTGTCAAGCTCTGGACCTGTTTTCTTCTTGTTTTTTTCATCAATTTTGGAGAGACGACCAGTTCTTGGTAGTATCATTGTTGTGCCATATTTTCTCCATTTGTTGATGACTGCCTTCACTGTGTTCCGTGGTATATTGAATTGCTAACTAGGGCATACAAAACCTTTGCTAGACCAATACTCGAATACAGCTCATCTGTCTGGAATACGCACTATATATCAGACATTAATACAATTGAGCAAGTCCAGAAGTATTTCACGAGAAGAGTACTACACTCCTCTCCTCGCAACAGAATACCCTATGTCACCAGACTTGAAATTTTGGGCTTGGACAATCGTTTTTTTTTTAATTGATTTTTTTATAAACAAACATAAACAGACAAAACATAAAAACATCAACCTTTCTTCCATGAGTATAAAAGCAGTGTGTCGGTTGGTTTACAAATTTTTTGTGCATCCATTTCATAGTCATCAATGACAGTTGCATTGTATAATAACTCATATTCCCAATCAGAAATTAAATACCCTAGTATCATCATTATTCAATCATTTGACAATAATTTTATTCATTCATATTTTGTGAGATAACTATAATTTACTTAGTATCATTTTGTAACAATTCATATAATCCCAAATTTATCCTAAGAATTTTTTATAGATATAGTAAAAAAGAAAGAAAAATACATCTTTATATATTTATTATTTTCTAAGATTCTACGTATTTCATTATTGTATTTTATTATCTAACCATTGATAAAAAAGGTCCCAAATTTTATAGAATTGTTTATCCTCTTGCTCTCTAATTTCAAATGTCAATCTACTCATTTCAGCACATTCCAATATTTTCTTAATGATTTCCTCCTGCAATGGTATTTTCTCATTTTTCCAGTTTTTAGCAAATACAATCCTAGCCGCTGTTAATACATTTACAATCAGGTATTTCAAATCTTTGCTATATGTATCAGGTAAAATTCCCAATAAAAATATCTCTGGTTTCAAATCTATATGTGTTTTTGTCATTTTTTCCAACCACATCTGGATTCTAGTCCAGTATATTCTAGCATCCGCACAAGTCCACCACATATGGTAATATGAGCCAGGTATCTGATGACATTTCCAACATTTTTCAGATTTATTCTTGAACATTCTTGCTATTCTTGTTGGGGGAAAGTGTCACCTGTAAAACATTTTATACAAATTTTCTTTATATGCTGTTGACATTGTCATTTTATAATTTTGAGACCACAATTTTTGCCATTTCTCTAAATCAATCCCATATCCAAAATTCTTGCCCCAAGCAATCATAGTTTCTTTAACTTGTTCTTCTTCTAGTTTAGTTTCTAATAAATATCCATACAATTTTTTAATCACCTTTTCATCAGTACCTGTCAAAATCTTATCTAAATCAGTCAATTTGTCATAGAATCCTTCTGTTTTGAGATCTTTATCATACTTTGAATGTATTTGCGCATATGAAAACCAATTCATCTTTATACCTTGTTCCTCTAGATTTTGCATCGATTTAAGTTCACCCTTTTCATTCAGTATTTCCCCATATCTAACTGTTTGTTCCTTCTTGTATATTATAGGATAAGAAAATGCTTCTATAGTCGATAACCAGACTGGAATTTTCAAATAACATTGTCTTTCAGTCTTCTCCCAATTTAACCACAAAGACTCCCATATATGGTGTCTTCTAAAATATTCCTGTGTTTTAGTCCCCTTGTACCATAAAAAAGCATGCCACCCCAACAACAAATCATGTCCTTCTAATGTTAACAATCTAATCTTAATGTTATCCATTCCTTGACCCACATCAAATTTGTAGCTTGGTAATACAACTCCCAATTAGGCAAACCAAATCCTCCTCTAATTCTAGCATCTTGCAAAAGTTTCAATTTTATTCTCGCTTTCTTACTTTGCCATATATATTTCAACACAATTTTATTTAAATCTTCAAAATAGTCTTTTCCAAGCCTAATTGGAATTGTTTGAAACAAATATAAAATTCTGGGTAATATATTCATCTTGATTGTTGAAATTCTCCCTATTAATGACAGTTGTAGATTTTCCCATTTCACCAAGTCAAGAGCTATCTGCTGCTTAAGTTTAATATAATTGTTTTCTTTTAATGTACTAGATCTTGCTGTGAGATGTATCCCAAATACTTAATCTTATTTGTGACTTGAATTTTCAATAGATCTGCCAATTCTTCCTTTTGTCTTGATAATATATTCTTTGTCAAAATCTTTGTCTTATCTTTATTAATTTTCAAGCCAGCCACCTTGCCATATGCCTCTATCTTTTCCAGCAATTTTGGTGCTGTTTCTAAAGGGTCTTCTAAGATAAAAACCAAATCATCCGCAAAGGCTTGCAATTTAAATTCTTCCTTTTTAATTTTCATTCCTCTTATACTCTTTTCGTCTCTATATTTCTATTTAACACTTCCAAAGTTAACACAAATAGCAAAGGTGATAGTGGGCACCCTTGTCTTGTTCCTTTTCTTATATTAATAGAGTCTGTCAATTCTCCCTCTATCATTACCTTTGCCGTTTGCTTGTAGTATATGGCTTCTATTGCTTGAATAAATTTTCTGGCAAACCCCATCTGTTCCAACGATAACAACATGAATCGCCAGTTAACATTATCAAATGCCTTTTGTGCATCCAGAAATATCAAAGCCGTTTGCTTTTCAGGGTGTGCCTCATAGTATTCCAAGGTATCCAAAATTACTCTCATATTATCCTTGATTTGTCTCTTTGGCAGAAATCCATTTTGATCAGAATGGATAAAGTTATTTAGATATTTTTTTAGTCTTTCTGCCAATATTGAAGCAAAAAATTTATAGTCTGCATTTAATAGGGAAATAGGTCTATAGTTCTTAATCTGCAATGGATCAGTCTCTTCTTTTGGAATGAGTGTAATATAGGCTTCTGACCATGATTGGCGTATCTTCTTCTTTAACATAACTTCATTCATAACTTCTAGCAATGGAAGATTCAACACTTCTTGTAATGTTTTATAAAATTCTGCCGGAAGTCCATCTGGGCCTGGTGCTTTTCCATTATTTTGCTTCTTAAGTGCTTCAGTTAACTCCATCATTGTTATATTGCTTTCTAGCATTTTTTCAGTCTCTTTAGGTATCTTGGGTAAATCAGCATTCTGTAAATACTGCTTAACTCTTTCCTCATCGATATTCCCTTGCTTATATAATTTCCCATAAAAATCTCAGATAATTTCCTTCTTTTCTTTGTTGCCATTAAAGCTGCTGAAGTTGGGACAGCTCCAATACGGAAGAGAGTAGAAAGAGAAAGTGTGCCGGTTTGGTGAAAACTTTTATTTTTTTATTCTAAGATTTAAAAGGACACCCTAGAGAAAAGAAAGAATCTGTAAAAGTTTTGACAGAAGTGAATAAGCGGCTATTTTAAACGGAAGTGTCAAAGTAAGGCTTTGCTTTTTTTTTTTTTTTGCTGGACTTCTATACACAATTTTGCATTTGCTAACTGGACTGGTTTTTTTCTTCTTATTTATATCTACTTTTTCTTCTCCTTTTTGATCTTGCAATATTTTAGGTTAGAGGCTCCCTTTAGTTATCTTTT